GCGGAGCCGGGGACGGAGTTTCCCGGGATGTAGACGTCACGACATCCGTCCGCGGATTTCTCCTTCGTGTTGATACCCTTTGATGGTGTATTCGCACGACGGAGTTTCTTCCCGAGGAGAAGGATAAACGTCATCGAGTTTTGAGGTCACGTGCTCCGCGTCACGAATGATCGCTGATCCCCCGAGCTCGCGGTGTGGTCGCGGGGTCCCGAGGAGAATCTGTGACAGGCCTACAGAATCTCCGCCGTTCCGTCGGTATCCGTCGGAGCGGTCGGGCCCCCTCTTTTGTCCCCCTGCTTTTGGGGAGGGGTAATAACGAACAGCTTTGAAGTCTGGGGGGCCTTTTCTTTATTATTTTTTGCCTACCTTTCTGTTGGATGAGCCCCCGAAAGTCGCCAGCAGGCTTGAAGTGTGGGGTGTCTTTTCTTTATTATTCTTTCCCTGCTTTTTGTTCAATGAGCCCCCGAAAGTCGCCAACAGGTTTGCGAAAAGAAAGACTCCGGCGACCCAACTATATGCGACTCCGTCCTGCGAATGCTGGCTTGGATTTTCTCCACTTCCTCCTCCTCCTCGTGCCGTTTCCTTCTCTCAGCTCTATGACGTACTCGGCTTTCTCCGGGGATAGAGATCTCTCGTGCGAATACACCATTATAGGGGTATCCACACGAAGGAGAAATCCCGGGGATTTCTCCCCGGCACGCGCATCCCACGACGAAAACGTCAGGCTTTGCGATGTGCAAAAGCCTCGCGTTTTCATCTCGTGATGCGCGCGTGCCGGGGAGAAATCCCCGGGATTTCTCCCTCGTGTGAATACCCCTTAAGGAGAACTCCGCGGAAGGAGAAATCCGCGGACGGATGTCGTAACGTCAACATCCCGGGAAACTCCGTCGCCCGCTCCGCCTCGTGCGCCTGCGGAACTTTCGTGCTAACAGCACGAAGCCTCCGCGCCTCCGCCACGGAGGAGAACGGCGCCGCGAGGCGCCAAAAGGGATGACGTATGTCTCACGTGATGCGCGCTCCGCGGAGGAAAGGGGTGGATTTCTCCTTCGTGTGGATACCCCATTAAGGGGTATCCACACGAAGGAGAAATCCGCGGACGGATGTCGTGACGGGGGTATCCACACGAAGGAGAAATCCGCGGACGGATGTCGTGACGTCAACATCCCGGGAAACTCCGTCCCCGGCTCCGCCGCGTGCACTTGCGGAGCTTTCGTGCTGTCAGCACAAAGCCTCCGCGCCTCCGCCACGGAGGAGAACGCGCCGCGAGGCGTCAAAAAGGGATGACGTATGTCTCACGTGATGCTCGATCCGCGGAGGAAAGGGGCGGATTTCTCCTTCGTGTGGATACCCCTTTATCGAGGCTCATTAAGCCTATGCGGAGTGCAAGTTCGTCTGCTTCTTTTGCAGGGGTTGTGGTGACGTCAGAACGCTGAGCCCTGATTGGTTCCGATTAAAGGATAGTGGGTCGACAATAAAGCAAGATGCCTTGAGGTCTACCCACAATCCTTCAATAAGAGCCAATCAGGGCTCGGCGTTCTGATGTCACCACAACCCCTGCAAAAGAAGCAGACGAACTTGCGCTCCGCATAGGGTCATGGACGGCTAGATCCCTGCAATATACCCTTTTCGAAAGTCGGCGCCATCGCCTGTCCGCCATTGCTTGATCACCTACCCTGAGCTTCTATTGGACTTACTCTAAGCATCTATGAACTTTTGAAAAGGGTCTATTTGGGCTATGGAGGGCTCATTACTGAAACAATTTGGTATTTATCACAAGTTACTCTAGCTAGTTCAGAATTATACGAAATTCGTAGTATAAAATATAACTTTCGTGTTCAAATATTTTAATTGCAAGGACCACATTTTCAAGCACGCAGCTTTTCAACAAGGACAGGAGGCCACTTGGGAAAGAAGAGCGTTTCAATAAGCCTACTTTTCAGATGTACTTTCGCTGGTAGAAACACGCTTTCTTCTATGCACATGAACACCTCCGACTCCCACAATTGTTCCTTGGAAGTTTTTTTTTTTTCGCTATCTCTACTGCTTTTTTCCGATCACGCAAGCATTGAATGTTCCGCAACACTTCAGAACAACAGATGGTTGTGTGAGAAAATCAACTCTTGACTTGAGATGGCTCGTGGGATTCCTCTCGAGAGCTCTAAACTTTTTTTCTGGTTGGCTGCCACAAAAACTGGAACGAATAAAAACCCTTTGGTCGGCTGCCTTAAAAACTGGATCGAATCTAAATGCTTTCTTCAGAAAAACTGGAACGAATCAAAATCCTTTGGTCGGTTGCCTCAAAAAATGGAACGAATCCAAGTCCTTTATAGTGAAACTGTCTGATTAAGCTTCGGTTTCGGCGCAGAGGTGGAGGAATAGCACCCTTCAACCCGTCTTCGCCGTTCAGAAGTTCTTCATTTTCTCAAAGGCCCTGTTCGTTTTGCACATGAAAGTCCAGACTTTGCTGCGAATTCTAACCACATCC